TTTTAAGGGATTCTGCGTGAGAGTTCATTTCGTCAGTATCTATCTGATCGTAGAATATACTCATCATCTTGTGTAAGTGCTTGCAATCTAACGCTTTCCATACAATTGTCAACCATCAACCTGCTAAACGCGTCTTTTGGATGGTATAAAGCTGTGGATCACTCAAGATGGTGTGATCACACTATGGTGAGGGTTTACAAGATGGCTAAACTTAGACAAGAAGCCAGTACATGGCTGTAACAGCCAGTAGTTATACAGTTAAAATTAGGTTTTTTTATAATGAAAGGAAAACCTATAGATTTAGATCAGGCGGCTTTGCCGCAGATAAAGCCGAGAAATACATTTTCAGCGGAAGAGTTAATTAGCCTTGGGGTAAGGTTGTAATTACTCTTGGAGTAAGTCCGCTACACGCGTACTGGTTCTAAGAATAGAACGAATGTCAACCAGCCTAACCAGGCCTCCACTAAGCGAAAGAGCTACGCAGTCCCGCTGTTCTTGGAATCCTCGTCATGAGAAACCATCACGCGCTGGTTTTAATTGAGTAAATGCTGTCAATCCGCAGCCCTATGACCAAAAAATATTTGTGCAAACGTGCACTATTACGCTTCGAGAAGGCGGGTTCGGGGCTCTGAAACATCTTGCTTCCTAAACTTTCTTGAAGTGGAACGAATGTTGCATCTTCACTGCTATCACATCATCTATGCACAACGTGGTCATCGTGATCGCGATGATGCATTGTATGGTGCGACGATAGCATCAGATTCATCCATTCCTACTTGAATCTTGCGTCGTCGGTGCAGTCGGCAAAGAAAACTATTATTTGGAGTTATTTCTGGGTGTTGTGGTAATGACGTCACTTTGCAAAGACGTGAGCTATACAAATATGTTCAGATTATGCCAAGCAGGTCTACCCTGAACTTGACGAGAGCATGTTCCACTGGGACTTGGTTCTTGTCATGATAATTTAGTTCCCTCTCAATTTTTTCTAATAGTAACGCATTTATGCCCATCGATACCGGAGTGGAATTACGCACAGCCTATTGCACATGCAGAATTGCCTCAAATTACTAATTATAACTTGAAGATACTCTTATTGGATTGCTCATTTGTTATACATTGGAATGGAATTTTTTTTACCATACATCAAGAATATCGATAAAGAACATTGAGAATTTCGAATTTGACATGTCGGAGGACTCTGCATTATAGTTGTGTAAGTTGTTGACTGGGCAAAACTACTTTTATAAATTCAGTTAAAACAGTGATATGTGCCACCGCACCACGTTCTTGATCTTTGCAGTATCTCAGGATTCGAGAAAAGCATAAAAAATGGAGACTTTTCCGGCGCAAAGATACGCATGTTCAAGTTGCCAAGCAACTTTATCTAGTACTCAAACTACCGCAAAGCTTGCAAGCACTTAATGTGGCTTTTAAATCAGACACATTGTGCTCTTTATGACTATTTACGAGTCTGAAGTCGATATAGGTCTACGATACTGCCAGGAAATTGCGTCATCAGGCAGATGATCGTCGCTGGTGTATTAAAGGTTCCTGAGATAATCAATCCACTACCAGAGATTAGCTCAAAGTCTCTTTGAAATAATTGAGCTGTGACAGCCTCTCATAAAAATATCGTACTAATTGTTTATTTGTAAATAATTACTGGAGATAAGTAAACAAGCGTTACCGGGGTATTCTGATCTGTATTTTTCAGTTAGCTGCGTATGCGTCGGAAAGATGCGTGAAACTAGACGTATTTATGAGAACTACGATAAACGTTTGCTAATTCTCCTCTCCGAATAGTCCAGGGTCGATCCCTCTTGGTATTTTCAATCTTAGTTCATGACACTTAGCAATATCAATGCTGTTCATTTCTGAGTATACCAAATCAGCAACAACTTAATGTTAGCGAGAACAGCGCTTCTGCTTTCCAGCAGCACGAAAGCACCATTAAAGAAAGCGAGCCATGATGTCGAATGCCTCTGACTTTCTGTCAATATACTGCTCGTTGTACTCTAGTCACGCCAACTTAAGATGAAGTAGTACGCTTTAATCAGGTCGCGACAACACCGTTCTGCACTGACATACGACCCACATCATATAGGAAGATCTGTCGTAATCAAGAAAGATGGTTGCACGTAGGGCGCGAATTTTTTGTACTGTTATAGAGGTACAATCGAGCTGCCGTTGAGAGTTCCATCTGAACGTGGCAGAGGTCCATTGCCTTTGATGCGCTTGTGGGGACTTCAGCTCCCTTAACCCAAATAGCCCAACCTCGGAAATTATGCTCCACATTTAACCCATTGCGCACTATCACCTCATAAAGTGCAGAATGATATCACGGATAAACAGTTTGAGCCGTATCTGTGCGGTGACCGCTCAAGAGTGGTTTTACAAACAAATCGACGAGACTATCAAACGCTTGAGTTGATACCGCCATCTCTCGTCGCCTGTGACAGCTGACCAAAACCTTCGATATCGGTCTTTTGCTTGGTCGGGCAGTGCAAAAAGTTGATACATTTAGCCTTTTAATACATATTTTGTCAGAAATGTCTGTTTAAATAGCGATAGTACGTATGTGCTCGTTATAACGTATATACTATGAGCAAGGGGATCAATACAGCATATCGCTGATTCAGCAATTAGAGCATGGCCAGCTAAATTCCCATTTCAATCTCTCCAGTTTAGTTATTCTTTTCCATTCTTGCCTTCAAAGAACTGTCCACGTTCAATAAGCGGCCTTAAGGTAGATGCTGGTTCTGCCTTTATTATCACTAATACTGTAACTGGGTTACACGTACCCTGGTAAACAGGGTTGGGTCACACAATATGGCGTGAACATACATAGGTGTGTATTACACAAGTCGGTGTAATCACATATTGGTGTGGCTACACCGTAACAAGAGGCCACTACATGGCGGGAATGTCAGTAGTTATGCATATTACTATCTAATTAGGAAAATCTCAGGTTTTATATATAAGCGGCTCTGCCGCAAAAAAACAAACAACTTATAATTTGGGAACGGAAGAGTGTATTTGCCTTGTTAAGGTTTTGGGTACTCTTGGAGGTGGATCCGCTACACTCGTACTGGTTCAGAACGTAAGGTCGGTGACCCTAGCTTAGCTTCTTCTAAGCAAAGAGCTACGTCAGCCCCGTTGCATTGACGATCCTTTTAAAGGTGGTTTACGTTCTTATTTTTGCAAGTGCTTTGTAGTGATACCAGGCCGAGTGACAACTGTAACGGGGTTACATGAGAGTGACCCGTCACTCTCCCAAGGGAGCTGTGGTGT